ATATCGGAAAACTTGCCGGAAAGATTAGCAACACTGACAATTTATTGGAACAGCCTTTTTCGAGACACCCATCCGATCGACTAATCGAGATATTCTTTATCGATATCGAACTACCCTCGTTCTCGTGGTTTATTTTTTTTTTTTAATGGAACTCTCCGGGGAGGTTGTTTTAAACCATCGAGAATAATTGACTAGATTTACGATGCAGATTAAATTGGCGTTTTTGAGGTGTTACTTTGTTTATTCCATTTTCTAGCGACTTTCTTTTATACCGAATTTACATTGAAAAAGTAAATTGCTAAACAAGGCTAAATACTGCGCTTCCGTAATCTGCAAGATTAAATAGAACTATTTGAAAATTTTGTATGTGAAGTACGTACGTTTGAAGAGGTGTCGTGTTATCACGCGCGTATAATAGATAAGGGTAAGAAAAACGTGGACAGAAACGTGCTTTAAACGTGCCATAATATGCTCCATTAAATAAGAAATTCTGAGAACGTACCGTACGTGTTACACCTTTGTGTCACTGCGAATGTGCTACAGAACACGCTAAATTCGATTCTGTTAAATTCTTTTCTCGTTGCTGGAATTTTCAGAGATTGCGAAACAGCGAGTACTAATTCTTCTTAGCTTCGGAATTGAATCTTTTTTCAAAATTGAAAATTAAATGGGTCAAATTGGAATGCGTTTTTATTCACTTGACAAGACACAGATGAAAAACTAAAAATTTTTTCCTGAGTGGGTGGGTGGTGAGAGAAATTGGGAGGGGTTGGTCGCGAAGCAAATTGCCAGGAAAGGAGAAACGAGGCCGGAAGTGACACGATCGTTGTCAGACCCATTGTCTCGGCTTTGGCGGTCGCAGTCAAACGTCGGGGCCAGGCCATTTAGGCTCATCCGCTTTAATTGGCTTCGTTTGTAATTACGAGAGAAGAGGGCGGTGGCTGGTATAGGGGGTGAGTTCTCTGGTTGAGACAATAAGAAAAGGGGGATGCGAGGGGGCGGCGGTTGTGCCTCAGAATACCCCGAATACTGCAGGTTGACGTGGATTGCGGCTTGAAGAGATCGTGGAAGTGGGTTAGGCGAGTACTGCTATTGTGAAAGGGTCCTTCTAGCTAGAAAAGAGCCGATAGAAGTTCGCCGAATGAAACAAAAGCACCACTGTGTTTCTCCTTTTCTTCTCCTTTCGTGGCTTTTGCGTTTACCAAGTGTCTCGCAAAAGAAATCGTCCAGAAAGAATAGAAAATATATTTGGATTTCTAATAGGAATTTTATTTAATACGTTTACTATCGTGTCATTCATATGAGAGTAGTTTTATAGAACCCCATTGTCGATATTATAAAAAATTCTCTAAATTACCTATTACCTATTATAATATTTTTAATTAGATGAGTCAAAGAATTTCTAATAATATTAGTGATTAATTCCTATGGAAATTTAGGTATCCACTATTACATATACTAGTAGCTAATAACAAAATTTGTTAGAAACAAAGATATTATCGAAAATTTTCAATGGCTACACTTCTGATAGAAGAAGCAAACCTGCTCCCATTCAAATCTAGAACACATCCGAGTACATATACAGTGTGTCCCGCGTAACTGGAACACTCAATTATTTCCTAAGCATGGTAAGAGGGGGCAACATTTTGACGTAGACGAATTTTTTTTGCACTGTTATTTTCAGAAATATAACGGCAAAGTTTGGTTTTTTAAATGGAACTATATATTTTTCTTTCGATCATTTGATACTGTTTTTGAAGTCGAATTCATTAAGCTTGCATGTATACACTTGATTTTCATTTGTTTTCGAGATATTGCGCTAACAAAGGAGATTTTTCACGGGAAAAATACACTTCAATGGGAAATATCTGCAGGGGTCCTGTTCGCGTCTAAAGTTTGGACCTGTCGTCCCGTTCACGCGCGGACAGGACCTCTGCTGATATTTCTCACTGAAGTGAATTTTTCCCGTGAAAAATCTCCTTTGTTAGCGCAATATCTCGAAAACAAATATACATGCAAGCTTAATGAATTCGACTTCAAAAACACTATCAAATGATCGAAAGAAAAATATATAGTTCCATTTAAAAAACTAAACCTTGCCATTATATGTTTGAAAATAACAATGCAAAAAAAATTCGTCCACGTCAAAATTTTACCTCCTCTTACCATGCAATGACCACCAAAGCAATTTTTTGTATCTTTAATAGTTTAGGAATTAATTGAGTGTTTCCATTTACGCGGGACACACTGTAGAGGGATACGTTAAAACCATACAATCTAGCAGCAAACTATTCATAAAGGGTTCGAGCCGATGCACACAACAAGCTGCGACACATCGGCTGACAAAGAAAACTGGTGTCTATGCACAAAGCTTGTAAGCAACGGGTTAACTCGAATCACTTTGAAACTTGTTGCACGAATCGAGCTTCCTACGTGTGTGTGTGCGTGCAGGATCGTTTGGAGAAATGGGCGGATCGATTCTCGAGCTGAATGGAAAGGCGAATGTAAAATGTCGGATCCTGGTCGCAGGAAACGTTGCGAGAAAGGATCCTTCTCGAACGAGGCGGTTGAAATTTCGCTCGGCTCGAAAGACGCCGGATAGACGGATTGATTGAAGGGATGCGCCACTTCCGGTACGTGCTGCTTCCTCCCGTGATACGTTCGCTTTGCAAGGGGGTAAAAAAGAAAATTTTCTAAGAGGGTTGGGCGCTCGGAAATTTTACCCTGCATAATTTCTTTTGAAACTATGCCTGAAAAAGTCCCTTTTTCTTTTTTTTTTAAATTATGTTAATCATTAAAGATGAAACTCAAATTTTTTATAAAAATTGATGATAATTATGTGGTGTTAGAAGAAACGATTTTCGATGAGCAGAGTTTTTTTTAACAACCTTATACCTTGAAACGATGCTTGCCAATGGCACCACATGGTTCAGTGTGTGACCACAGGACACACCTTTGCTCGCTTCCTGGAGGTCGGACACGCATGCTGAATCAGAGAACAGGATGCGTGGGAAAAGTTATGCATGCATGGCGGTTTGGATTTGCGTGGAAGGAAAAGGGTATTGTTGATTTCTCGGAGGTGCTCGATGAGAAATCATTCTTCTCTGACGAAATTTGTGGTTTCAATACGGCAATTCATTTTTTAACAGGAAACTGTACATTTTACTTGAATAGGGGTCATTGTGGTTTAAAATTATTTGAAAATTTTTCTTTGAAGATTTTGAAAAATTCGTCGTGATGGAATGATTTTCGTGTCGAACTTTTACAATAGGATTAGTAGGAACGTAAGTGAAAGCAAATCGAAATGTAGGTTGTTCGCTTTCGATTTGATTCTAGTGTGAAGAAATGTTCATTTTAAATCGTTTGAAGTATCAGATTTTCTAATATGTATCTAATGTTATCCGCGATTCCAATCCGGAAATAAGCTGAGGAAGCAATTTTGATTCTTTGCACAGCAATCGGTAGCAGTTTGTTTATTTTTCGTTAGTCTCGATAGTAGAACGCGATATTGCAGACGGAACAATAGTTTTATTTGGTAAAAAGCCAAAAGAGACGTCTATAAATATAAAATCTTTCCTTCGAAGCACTTCGTTTCAAATCGATAGAAGCTATATGAAATTGAAGGGCAAATTTAATTTTAAATGTAACCTCGCGATTGTTCTATTTACAAAAATTATCTCTGATCAAGAAATTGATAATTTCCAATGGAATAATCAAAGCTGGTATTATTGGAAAGTTGTCAAGTGATTCAAAGATTAACTGCGTTTCGCGTAAACGAAAATTCATGGATGTTTGGTCGAAATTCGAATCAAGACTGGGCATGGAATTATATCTTGGGGGTGTAAAATGTGGCGTCAGGCGAGTGGGCTGGGTAGTTGATTAATGGACCTCCCGATAATTAATTGAATAATTAATAGCCTTAATGAACTTTTCACGCTGCTGGCAATTGTAAGACGATAAGCTGACCGAGCAATATGAGGCTGCTAATTTTAATTTTTCAAAGCTGAACATCACTTTTGGTAGAAAATTTCAATCAAGTCAAAATTGACCCTAAAAATCAAGGTATCTTTATGAAGCTGATTTAAAAGCTAATTTTGATATCCAATGACCCATGTATCTCTATAATAATTAATCATTCACTCTTATCTCTCAAACTTTATATAATAATTCTACATGACCAATTTCATTAGAAGAAATCACATAATTATAGAAAAGATGCTTCCAAAACAGGCTGTAATTAACTAATTACTATGTATACAAGATCTAGTAATTTAACCTAACCTTCCCATTATTTACAAACCTTGACACCAATAATTATCTAATAAACAAAACAACACTTGTCAAAAACACGAATTTTAAGTGATTCTGCCGAATAATTCAGGCGAATTCATATGGAAAACGAATCAAAGCAAATTGGTGTACGAATTCCATTGAAGATGACTGAGATTCTCCATTATCATCGAGGCAGAAGTAAACGAATCGGGTGTTGGAAAAATACCGAGCGATCGTGCACGTGAAACGCGGTCGAAATTAATTCGAGGCATTGGAACGGAAAGAAGAGCGTATCAGGGGGGCGGAAGTGCATCATTCTTCTGCAATGGTTCCCCCAGAACGAGGGTCGACAGCTGGGCAAAACCATGCCCCACCATCTTTCTCTGAAACACGTGAAACGAGCACGTGGAAAAGAGACGCTCTTCTTTATTCCTCTCTCTCTCTCTCTTCTCAACCCTTTACTCTCTCTTTTTCCCTTTCGAGTTCGCTCCATTCCTCTTACTTTCGGATTCTCCCCGTCTATCGCCTTTTTTTCACTCTTCTATCTTCCTTGATACATCGTTCGTCTTCGTTTAACTCGTTGTTATATTCCCCCACTTCGTCTTCTCATTGTCCCTTTCTCTGTCTCTGTTCGTTGTACGAACAACGTGGAACATGGTCAACAGGTAGAAAAGACAGGTGGCCGACGATGTATTCATGATGTCGGCTGCTACGAGACGATCCTTCAAAGCTGCCCAGTGTCCACGATGACTCGGTACGCGCCTCATTGAGGCTCTTTTTTTTCATTTCTTTCATTCAGATTTTGGGATTTAATAAGTGATCGTGAATGGCAGTGGAAAGTGTAATGAGTGTTTCTTGTGGATCATTTTGAGTTTTGTGTTTTTCGATGGATTTATACGTCGATGATCTATCGTTTCACCGAGATACTTATAGAATTTTTTATCATCACTGAAATCAGGTGTCTCGTTTGTGATTTTTCTAGATTTTGTGTTCTTTATTCGATTTTGATATTATTGATCTCTTATTTTCTGGGAACACCTGTACTAGTTTTCACGATGTCTTCTCTGTGATCTTTTGTGCCTGTGACTGTTCTGTCGCGATAAATTGGAAATTGATCTTCCATAGATCTAATATGTGAATTAAAAATTTGTGATGAAAATGATGCATACATTAGTGTGTATTAAAGTGATCAATATATTTAATGAGACCAAGGCTCTATGGAACATCTTTGTTTCTAAAGGTACGAGTATAAATGTAGGTTCAAGTTACCTTATTCTTCATGTTTATTGAATAATGACTAATCATACATCAGTCATCCAAATAATAATTAGCAATTATCCGAAGGTTATGACTATCAACCATCAAGTACCAATAATTTTCTTTTTGCTTGAATAACTCTCTTACAAAAATACTATGTTTTTCAATCAAAACTTTACATTTCCAACTACTAATTGTACTAATGATACACGACAACATCCTTGACGCTAATAGTTATTCCTTCAATAAGTGATTTTTGTATAATTGAATTATTAATTGATTCTCAAGCATTCTAATCGTAATTTTACACTCAATCGGTGTTAATAGAAGATTCTGTCGAAGCAGAGATGTTTTTCTAGCACCCTCGACAGCCGTGAAAGTGGAACAAAGTGTGTTTGAAGTATCTTTTGTCGTTAGAACAGCATAGACAAGAAGATCGAACACCTTTGTACGTCACCTAGATCCGAAGTGTTAATCGATATTTGTGTCAAGTATCTGGTATTTTGAATGGACGCGTCAAAGAAATTCTCGCCTTGTACCAAAAGATACAAGATAGACTATTGTTAGACGTTGTTTGACATCCTATGGAGACTACATTAATATTCTATGGGTGTGCCAATGCGTCATGGAACTGTACACCTTTCGAAAGTCCGGAATCACTGAATTCAGTGAAGTAAACATTTATTCTCTGCCCAAAGAATTTATGTATTTTCTGTATTTCGTAATTCTTGATACACCTTTATAAATATTTGAGAAGCTATTAACAATTTGTTAAGAAAAATTTTATCAATATTTATGTTCAGAGTAAAATATTGAACCTCCTTTGATTTCTTATCAAAATATTTGTTTATTCTGAAAAGTTTATATAAGATAAATTTTCAGTTTGCGCAAGATTCTTCTCTTCATTGCTTGTTAAAATACCCTCTTCATGCTCTTATGCACGTGAAAGATGTCTGTACTCTTCTTGATCAGTCAAGATACGTTCTTTGTGCATCTTATCGTTCTTTATTTAAAAATATACCGTGAGAAATATGCACAGGGTGGAAAGAAATTTTAATGGATGAACTACATGCTATTTGCATTCAGCACCCTCATTTTCGAAGATTATTTCATCCCTTAAAACAATTTTTCCATAAATCAAAGAAATACGTATCGTTTATATTTTGGATCTATTATAATATGTATATTTTAATAGTATTAAAATTGGAATTGAACTCCTAGGATATCTACCTTGTTAAAACAAGATTTCCGTGACTGAAGAGGGAGTATAAAATTATCATTTTCCAGGCAAACATCAAAATTAATGAGTATCTCTTCGCGCAATAAGTATCCTCGAACGGAGACAGCTAGTTCCTTGGTATCTCGCGAAACAATGGTAATTCGTGTCGTTGTTATCCAAGTATTTATCAAGTCGTCGCGTCTCGAGTCGCGGAAGAAGAAGAAAAGTGGAAGGATAAAAAGATCCTTTTGCTTGTTTTTTTTTTTACAGCGAGGAAAAGCATCTTGGATCGTGCTCTTTCTTTTCCTCGTTATCTTTTTGTCTACTCGGTGTCTCCTTAACGTCAACGAATCCAAAGAGAAGTTGTTCGTAAACGAATCTTCAGCACTGGATTCTCGAAGATATTAAAGTCTTTAGATCTCGTTTAATCTTTCGATTTTCCAATTAACGACCAGTCGATTGGCTTTTGCTTCGATTTCTTTGCTTCTTCAATGTCTAATTTGATACTTCACGAATAAAGGGATTGCGTAATTTAATTAACACCTGGAATGATTGAGTAATAGTAAAAGAAATTTTTAATCTCTATAATTACGTTACTTATGCAAGGTATCAAATGATTATTAGATAAATTATGATAGAAATGAAATTTCGTCCTTTCTAAATATTTGAGTAATTAATGACTTTCTGTGGTGACAAATTTCAACTATCATATCTGATCGTCGTTTCATATAACGACGATAATAACGATACTCGTTACAGAAAATCGATACATGTTTCTAAAAGATTTCCCATTTTCCCTGGAACTATCGATGACCAACGCGTTTCTATTATGGAGAATTACGTTTCATACAGCAGGTCGAAATATCAAACTGGGAAGTACTTAGTTGATGGTGTACAAAGGAAAGTAGCTCGGGAACGAAAGAGACAAGTTCAGTTTGCTCGTTCAAATCACGTATCTTGCTTTCTATTTATCTATCGACGGTCCACCTGAAAGGATTCCTTTATCGTTGAGTCCGCAAAATTTATGTCGGTTTGAAGGGTATCCGTTTTCTTTCCAGGATGAAATATTTCTGATAAAGAATTCTATTTATTTGAAAAATCAAAGAAAGAAATATCATTGTATCTGTCTACGAATTAAAATATTAGGATATTAGAGTGTTAGAGTATTAGATTATTAAAGCATTAGAATATTAAGGTATTGAAGTATAAGAATATTAGAATATTAGGATATTAGGATATTAGGATATTAGAATCCTAGAATGTTAGAATGTTAGAATGTTAGAATATTAGAATATTAGAATATTAGGATATTAGGATACTAGGATGTTAGAATGTTAGAATGTTAGAATATTAGGATATTAAGATACTAGGATGTTAGAATGTTAGAATATTAGAATATTAGAATACTAAAGTATTAGATTAGGGTATAAGAGTATTAGAATATTAGGATATTAAGGTATTAGAATATTAGAATATTAAAGTATTAGAGTAATAGGATATTAGGATATTAGAATATTAGAATATTAAAATATTAAAATGTTACAAAATGAAAATTAAACATCCATTCATCTAACCCAATTATTCCTCTGTTTCAGATAAACATCATCAAAGAGCAACACTCTATATCAACCCATGAACGTGCTACCAAGTTTCGTTTCAAACCTCTCAGAATTCAGGAGGTTTTCTAAAAAATGACACAAAAAACAGTGCTAAATCCCTGAAGAGAAAAAGAAGGAATTGCAAAGGTTCGACGAATGATCCTGAATCAGGATGGTGATCGCGAGCGAATCAGCCGTCGGGACAGTATCCGGCACGTGCAGCAAACTAAGAAGGTCTCGTAGACTATCGTCGACCCGTGGTTTACGGGTCAGGACAAGCACAAACACAAGCGACCAAACGATTCCACGGCAAGATCTCAATCAGAAGCTCGGTTTGTGTCCCATAGTTAGTGGAAACGTGGCCGGTACAAAGGCTCGTCCAACGATCAATTGGGAATTGAACGAGAGAGTCAGCCTGAGCAGCGGTTCAAGCGCCGGTCTTCAGGTTCGTCCAGACGCGAAGAAAGGGATCGAGCTGAGCGGAAATCGAAAGAAACCGGATATCGAAGTTAACAAACGATCTACCAACGATAGAACAAGTTTAGAACTGATGAACGTATCCGGTTATCAGCAGGAAGAAAAGAAACGAAAGGACTCTTCATGGTCCATCGAGATCGACTCCCTCGAACGTCCAAACGACGAGAACGTGATTAAAAGCGATTCTAAATATGAAATCGGTACTCCAAGCGAAGGATCCGCATCCAGGAAATTAACGAAACAAAGACGTCAACTTACCGGTTCGACCAAGACCCGGAAGAACGAGGAAGAATGCGTGAAGAAGGTTGACAAGACGAACGATTCCATTACCAAGAGACTCGAATTAATCCACGAATTGAATCAAAAGATCCTGGCTAACTACGAACGCTTCCAACAAAAATCAAAATCCAGGAATCACTCGAAGGACGGTCAGAATAAGAATCCGAAGGAGCAACCTGGAAGAAGTCGAGCGATTTTGAACGATGGAAAAGAAGCTCGGAAGGAAGAACACGTTTACGTCGAAGCTCGACGTAAGAATAAAACGAAGATGGATAACAAGGATGATACGTGTAAGGATTCGTTGAGACAACGCAAGACGGACGTCAACAAGTTCACATTCTCAAAAGATCATTGCGAGAAACTGACGTCGTCGAAGGATCAAACCGACTCCGATAAGAGACGATCGACGAAGGCTGTGTCGAAGTCGAGGATACTTCGCGATAACGAGAACTTCATCATGACCAGCAGACCAGGTTTCTACGATCAGGAGGATAAAGAGAGGAGATCGGCTTCGAGGACTGAATACAGATGGAAGAAAACCGAGGGAAAGAAAAGTTCCAAGTCGGTTTTTTACTCGAACGTGGAGGACACGAAGAATCACGTAGACGAGACGATCAACGAGGACACCGATTGTCTAGGGAGCTCGAGATTCTACCCGGAGAACTATGGCGATCGCTTTAACGAAGCGAGAACCGACCAACCGAAGCAAGAGGAAACGGAAACTCGTGACGCAAATGGAATCGATGAGAATAAAGATCGATCCGTGAAGGAGATTCGGATCGATCGTGTTACCTTGGAGGAGGAAATTCTGGAGAATCTTGACGAGACTATCGGTAGCTTCGACAACGAGAAATCGGGCAAAGTTGAGGAAAAGATCGACGAGACGAAGGTTCACGGTTTCAATTGCGATTCAAACGAAAGTAGTAACAGTACAATTTTGGAATTGACCAGTCCGAAAGTAAGCAGGCTTCAAGAAACGTTCAATTCCTCGTGGGATTCCGGAGTCGGCGTCGATGTCGGCACCGGAAGTGGATGGGTTAGAATCCACACGGGTATCGAGAGCAGCCTCGTCTATCTTACTCTGGATACCACTGCTAAAGATGTCTGCAGGGATATGCTGCTCGGCGACGACCTGTCTCTGTTTATTCAGGTAAGCGAGCTTGAACTTTCTCCACTAATTATTCATTTGATTTACGACGCAAAGGATACGCGTTTGAACTTAATGAGAAAGTCTGACGTGCTAATGAGCTGCGCTAAGTGACGTCTTTATGACGTGTCTTCGCGGTGGATGTCTTTGAATTTAAATTCTATGCCGTACGAGGTGATTAACTGGGTGGATAGTGATAATATTAACGACGGTTTTTAATTACTTTAGCTAACGATTAGAAATAAAAATAATAATTCTTCTCTCCGTCGAGTTCTTTTTCTGTTTGTAGTTTAAAAAGATTCTATTAAAAAATTTATCTAATTTAAAGTCAATAATATTTCTCTCTAAATATTAATTTTTCCAATCACGTTTATCGATCGCTTACCATCGCCCTCGATCCAATATCGCGATTAGATCCCCGGCGAGACGAGAAAAACAACGTAACCGATTCTTGAACAAAGATATGACGGCTTTCTTTGTGGAAGATTTAAGTTCGTAGCAGCGAGAAACGAAGTGAAACGTGATAAGAAAGCGCGATTTAAGGGTGGAAGGTGGTGCAGCGTATAGAGAAATGAAAAGGGGTAAAAACCGAGAGACGACGATCCCTGTGAAAAAGAAAGAAACAGAGAGGAGAAAAAATTGCGAGAGGTTTCAGTGGAATATCAGCGGCGAAGCTTTATCGCGTGCTCGAGCATTAACTACGTCTGCGACAGAGAGCAGACCGGAAATCCTGGTGAACTGCGGGATCCCGTTGAAGGGATAAGTCGCGCGATTTCGTTTCGTCATTTTCGCGAAAGAGAGTGAAGGGGGATCGGTTATCGTTTCCTGTCGCTGAACGAAAGATAACTGCGATTCACCTTCACCGTATTCTTTGCTGAAAGAAACCTGCGATCTGCTCGAAGGCATTCGCTTTGACTGCATATTTGCCACTTGAATTTGATGAGATTATATTTTAAATGAAATTGAACATTTTTAATGAAACGTCAGGTGCGAAATTATAAAAATTTCAGTTCCACGGTTATTAATAAAGTTAAATGAAAAAATTGAAAGGGGTATAACAATTGCAAATGAAATATTGAATTATTAATTTGTTTTGAACATGATTAATTTGTGAAATGTTGATCATTGTTGTTGGTAATAACATAGTAGTAGTTAGAATACATTGTTGTAAAATACAGAACTAGGAGGAACAATAGAAACAGACGCTATATTTGTGAACCAATATAAACTGTAGTTGCTTTTATTAACTTTGTCTATAGATTTACTAATATGTATATTGGAAACGCGATTGTCCCGAATCTCCAATACCCAATAACGTCGTCCCTATATTCTGAGTGGCAGTAAACTAGATATCCAACAAAATTCTAAAATCATTGCTCTAGGATATAAAACACAACACTCAAAGACCATAACTTTTCTTGCTCTAAATATGAAATTTTCACATTTAAAAACCTTTTTCATATTTTCATAAATAAATTCATCCAAATTCTATTTTTTTTATTAGAAAATACCTTAGCAGAAATCTGTTGAACAAGAAACATTTACCTTAGCATAAATACATCCGGAAGTATTTAATCAACAGGGACCATGATTCTCGGTTGAATTCAACCGGTGCAGTTTACATTAGCATACGATCAGAGAAATCGTTTACATCGAACAGAGCGTTACAAATCAAACCCGACTGCTTTCAATATAAATTCCCATCGAGTTAAATAAGCGTAGCAGTCGCGATTGAACCTTTTGATCGATAACAAGCTCACCGCGCGATTGTATCTACACGTGAAAAAGCTTTGAATCTTCGGAGGTGGTCGTAAATTTCGTCTCGTCTCATCTCGCGTAACAAAACAGACCTTTGACGTGGAGAAACGAAAGCAACGGTGGATACAGAAGGGTAAAAAGAGGATCGGTACGGGGTGCGTTGGTCGAGGAGAGTTTTCGGGGTTCGCTTTCGAGTCGCTTGCCTTTCTCATACCGGCAAACCGATTTTGCCGTGTCTGCAGCCGAAACTTTCATCCCTCGCCTCGGCTCGGTCGGGGAACGACGTTGTATAATGAGTAGGACGTGGGCTGGCTTCTCAAAGATAACGAGGTACGCGCCAGTAATCAAAGGAAGGCTAAGACTTAAATAGCAACCAGCCAGCCTCTTAAAAGAACCTCTCTAGCCGGCTGGATACAGCTACTTCGGATACTCCGCTCTCCTAGACGTGTATGTACACGCGGCCACAATAACCATCCTAATAGACTTGCCTGCTTTTCTTGATTCTTCATTGGAAATAGTCTTCTATTTTTCTATTATAAAGGGTTATCCATATTTTCAAATTGAAATAAAACGGAAAGTATTTGAGATTTGTATGGTATTTTTATTTTAGCACTAAGTAAGCTTTACGATATTAATTATGAAAGACAATATCATTCAACTTAATCAACTTTTTTTTTGACGAATCACTAAGACCGTGTGATTTAACACCATTAAACTTTTCTCTAAGGGAATTTTTTAGAAGACTACTGACCAGCTGAAAAACAATATCATAATTGTGTGAAAATGAAAATTGGATCAAACGAATTTGATTGAGGACACTTGAATGATATTGTCTTTCGTGATTAATATCGTAAAGTAGACTTTGTGTTAAAATAAAGAAACTATACAAATCTCATACTTTGTGTTTTATTTCAATTTGAAGATGTGACACTCAATTTGGATAACCCTTTATTTTCTATGATTATTAATTATTGATTGTGTATATAAGAAAATGTTAGGGAAGTTTTGAAATAAGGGTAGTAGATAGATTCGAGTAGATAGAGTAAGCTATATTTGCACTAATTAGTAACATTCCTATTTTTAATTAGGATTCATAACAATTACTGCTACTTGGCAAATATCATTTTTAGTGTTTTGTTTATAAATTCACACGTTTGGCTTAATTGGGAATATAGGTGATTATAAACGATTTCTCAATGACATTTTTAGATTGTATGGGTAGAATGGGTGAGTTTGTGAAGGCACCTGTCGCATTTCGAGAATACCGTTGAAACAGGTGTCGCCGATCTGAGAAAGTGTGGCGAAAGGAAGTCGGGTAGTTGGTAACACGTGACTGACCGGTTCGCGAGACGAACAGGTGTTTAATTACATAAGGGAGGAACAAGTTCACACGGGGTTACGTTCGTGTTGTGCTAGAGTTTCAAGAATTTTCCTCACCCTCGAGTATGAGAAACTTCGGCATCGAGAAAATTCGTCAAATTCGTCAATAACTTTGACTAGCAAGATTCCAACGATAAAATTATTAATTTTTATTTTGTCAACTTAGAAATATTTTGCTTCTATTTTAGTGTAACATAATTTTCTGAATTGTCAAAATGGAAATTCATTATTAACGTAATTTACTTTTAATTTTATATTATCAGATTAAAAACAAAATAATTAAAAGCTATTGATATTATTGAAATATTTGCCCCTCCATACAATTTCACTCGCTTAAAATTTGAAATTAATTTAAACTTTAATTATCAGGAACGTGAAATCATTATATTATTTAAATTTAACTAAAAAATCTCGTTTTCATATTTAGTGTAATATAATTTAATCCTATAATTAATAAATCTGATATGTAACAATCTAAGTAAGATAATTTATACCGATACAACAAAGTGAAAATTTGCCGTTAATTTGATATTATCACGTCGAAATTGGAGTAATTAAAGGCACCTATTGATATTACTGAAATATTATACTTGTTTCGTGAATGAAATTTTACTCGTTCTTCAGTTAATGTTAAAATCACGAAACCATGATACCGCGAAACATTTAATTATCAAAATTGCCTGTTCAATTTGTTAATTAAACCGTACCGGGAACATATCATTTATATTTCGAGGGGCCTTTTTATATAATGTTCGAATTAAATAAATACAGACAAATGTTTGAAGTATTAACGTTTCACATTTGTAAAGTAGGTAAATATGAAATATTTGATTTCGAACAGCTCCCATAAATTTCACGGTGCAAAAGAAATTCAACCGAGGTGCGAAACGTGTATCAGTAAAACAACCGTTTCGCGTCGTTCTCGGGGATCATAATATTTTCCTGGAATACACCGAATTCTCATTTGAATCGATACTCGTCCATATGGGTGAACGTGTAATCAATACAAACACACGATTAAAATGGAATCGTAATTCATGTCGCGACGATTGGATCACCGTTTTACCTTCGTTGAAAATCACCTTCACCATTTATTGTTTTTTAATTAATTTTCCTCCGTTTTAATCACTCCAAATTATGTACTGTAATATTTTCCAAGGAAAATTGCCTGCAAAGTCAGACAGAGTTTCTGTTTAATTCTTTTTCCATTTTTGGAATTAAATTGTTTTTAACCAGCAATACAATCGTAATTTATCATTACTTGTATCATCGTAATTTAACATAGCCCAACAATATGATGACTTAAACTCCTATTAATTTGGCCTAAATTATCTTATCTCTAAGTTTCATTGAAATTAGTTATGTTGAACCTCATGAAACTCTGAACCTGTCTCAAGATAATTCTTAAACGTTTCACAAAAATCAACAGTTCAAAAAAAAATAAAAGTACGCGTCTAAATAAATGAAACAAAGTTAATTTTGTTTAAAGCCCGTTAAGCTGGATTTCAAAAATTATACGGAAGCTCTGAACTGTTTGAAGAGTAGATTTGTTAGGCGAATTCGTATTAAATCGTTAAACGTATTCAGAGCAGAAACAGTGCTGGAAATATGATCGGAAAACGAATGAGAGATTATTCTAATTCAACGAGAGAAATGTTTCTGAAATTATAAATCGAACAGCAACAGACAGGGGAAATATTTAAAAATCGGTCGGTAAATAACATTATCCCGTAATACAGATTTTCTCGAAACTCCGAAAAAAACGTCGAAAAACAACAATAATAATACGGATAACAGTGTGCCGGGCACCCGTCGATTGCACGTTATTTTCTGTTATAATAATTCATAATACTGCACCGTAGTTGTTCGAACAAATGTAGTGGAATTTTATACGAGAATCGCCCGAAGCTAATACGTACTGCGATAAATATACGGGCTTTCTCGTACCGTTTTAAATTTCAAACGAATATAGGCATCCCGTAAATCAAGCAGAACGGGAATTTTGATGCGTGGAAAATGAAAAACAGAAAACAACCGAGAGAGATTGTGGAACACGTTAATGGTAAAGAAAAAAGGATTCATTTTCCTTCTTAAAATGAAACTTCAAAAAGAAAGTTTAGTCTTATCCTGTCGTTTTAAGCGTCTGAAAGTGTTGAAAAGCTTATTCCTTGAATCGTCCATTTCGCATGGTTCTCTTTTTAATTCTCGCCTGCAATCAACCGTCCGACAGAAACAGTATTCGCTAATTTATACAAGCACGAGAAAGAGGCGCTTCTCCGCTTTTCGTTGAATAAATTTCAACGAGGGTAAAAAGGGCGAGCAGTTTTCAGCGTTTAATTCAGATTACGAATAATCTTAGAAACATCCCTCGCGTCGCTTCTTTAACGGATAAAAAAGAGTGCTTTCTTTGAATCGGGACGCCGAACGTCTTCGGTAAATTTTGCATATTACAAAAGCAATTTATTTATACATCAACTGTGAAAGTAGCGTTAAAATTTTTTTATTTGCTCTACGAATAAAATTCGGATAACTATGGGATTCAGAAAAATTTATTCCAAGAAATGCAGAATTGTGTGATGCAATAGGTATACCATAAAGCGAATGCAAACAATACAATTAATTCTGAAAAATTATTCAAGTTAATTACTCGTCGAACGAGGTTTTGGGAGAAATAGAGTTCTGGTAATTTCAGTTTGAAAAATCATTATTAAAAATTCAGATGCTTAAACATAGAGATATTTTCCAGTAAATAATATCAGATGTTTCAGTAAAATAATATCAGGTAAAAATGAATATCCGTCCAAACAAAAATGTTTTAATTAAAAGAACGTGAATCATTTCTGTCCACTACTACACCTCAGCACTCAAATCTACCCTTTTCTTCGACATTATTTAAAAGTACAGCAGGTTATAAATTTTCTACCACTCTTTTTCAACCCTCTATCTCTTTTCTGTTTTAAGAGGATTAAAGGATCACGATTAGAGGGTTTCCGGGGGTTGTAAAGTTTTTTGTCCTCGCACAGTGGGTAATAAGGTGGACTCGTGGAATTTTTTAAATTTTTCGGTTGCACTCTGCTGAATTGGAGAGTGGAAATTCGTGACCGCGCTTTTCTGTGTTTGCGTTATCATTTTATTTTTACGCTGCATGTTTTTGATTATACACGGTGCTGAATAATATAAGCTGAAAGGTAGTGAGTTTCCAAGGAAATATATAAAATTCTTTAACTTATGCTTTGGCTTCTGGGAAAATTAAATTTAAATTTAAAATCCTTTATTTTTTCAAAGAATATAGATTCACCCTCTACGTATTTTATTTATCATAAATATTTTCAATTGTAAAAATGGCTCTTTTATTTTGTAATATTGTCAAAAAAAAAAATGGTAAAATTGCACGCACGATTTCCTGTAAAAGTGGATTCGAGTATAAAATTGAAAAGGACAAATTCGTGTGACATTCGCGCCGTAAATAAATATAAACTACCCTCTGGTTCGGCCTTAAAGCTTTCATAAAAATCGTAAAGTTCCTGGTCAAGCGCAAAGTGCTTTTTGACGAAGCGATCGTAACTTTATCGTGGACCATTAAATGAAATACTCGTTCCCTTCCTCTCGCGGAGGAAGCAATTGTTATAAAAAGGGATGGCCAAAGTGGTAATCGTTTAGTAACGTTGCTGCACACGAAGGAACAATCGTTAAACAAGGTCTGACCGTAAACAGGGCTCGTTAAATGTAGCAGTTCGTAAATTGCTGTTTGTGAACTGGCCAACAACTTGTCGAAATTTTTAGCCGCTTGTTAAAGAACACCTCCGCTCTATCAGTAAATTGGATTTGAAAATAAATGACTGAAAATTTGATTGTTAGTCACGATCTTGCTTCCTTGAGCACAACTTGGAATTAAGGTGTTAATTAAACGACACCTTTCAATTAAAGCACGCTAATTAAAAGAAAAATAAGTAAAACTCGTTAATTTGTTGTTCGTACAATAATTTATTGTCAGGTTCTGAATTTTTCTAATAAATAAAATAATTTCTTAAAAGAAATTAGAATAGAATATTTCAAATATTACCATTTTGCTATACATTTATATCAGGATTTTGTATTAGACTCGATAGTTGATATGCAGCTTAGTATTTGGAAATGATGAGAATCGTTTAGGAGGGATATTTCTCGCCGTTTATAATGAGTTTCGTTAATTACGCGAGGGTCTCCTGTGGGATGCAGGTAGCCCCGGTTCCTCTTCTACGGTCGATCGGATCGATAAGGTCGCTTCTATCGAACGAAAATAAGGCTTTCTCGTTGGCTTTACCGGGGATGTTCGAACTGAAACCGTTCGAGTCGTTCAGCTTTTTCTTTCCCTCCTTTCATCCCTAAACCTTCAGCCTTCTTTTAACGTTCCTTTCTTCTCTCGCTAACTTCGAACCTGTTACCATTTATTTCTTCCCCGTTGTTCGAACGATCACTCAATTTTTCTCAGCTATTTTCGCTTTCTCCCTGCAATTCATCATCCGATATCCTCGTTTCTTTACTTGCACCTGGATACTGCAACCTTTCCAATCAGCTGATTTTATATTTATTCTTCTTTTGTTTCTTTTTCAAAAATGATTTCAAATAACGCTAATTTTGATTTAAATCCTTATATGTTAGATGTTATTACGAAACTATCTTAAAATGTCCGAACATCTGGCGTTGTTTCTGAACGGAAAACATCGCCGTTCGTTGTTTGCTGAAGGAGAACGTGCTTTACGCGTAAATCTTCTTAAACGAATTAACTCGGACGCGGGTACCAGTTTCGCGTTTCATCTTAATTTCAACGGCTAGAAACTGTTCGAAAGTTCGCTGGTGAGAATTTTCCGGATCGAAGCGAGAGGCCGCGTTTCCCTTTCGCCCTTCAGGTTAATTAAAAAATATTTTTCCGCGCCTCGGTTATCGACCTCCTCTCCTCGCCGAGTTTCATTATGATTATCCGTGACTTATAGACGGATTGCTGAAGATTTGCAATTTTAAAATATAAGATAAGAAAAGTAGCTACTGATAAATTGAAATATATATATTTTTATAATTCGATGCATATTTAATTCTTTTTTTTCATGCGGAGAAATTAACTGACGATTCGAAGCCGTGAATTTCGATAATAAAATCCATTAAGAGATTACGCTCGGTTTTCAGTACGGAGGCGAGTCTGGAAGGAGATTGGCTTCGGAGGAGAAGCCGCTGGAGATACAGGATCAATTTCTCCAAAAGCTTGGCTACCAGGACGTATCCAGACGGTCTCGGCTCGGAGTCGATCCTGAGTTACGACACCTCATCGCTTTCCACGTGGGTGAGTACGATTTCATCCTCGAATAACATTGCTTTAACTAATAGCTATACATTTATTCTTCAATTTTCTTTTCCTATACTTCTTCGTCCGCTTTCTGTTGAGAACAATTGATTAGGGTTAAGCTTTTACCGCGAGATTAGTGACACGAGGTGCCATTTCGCAGAATATCAGCCCTAATTTTAATTAATTATCTAAATTAGGTAATTATAATTAATTAGTTAAATTTTAATTAAAATTAATTAGATATTTTTAGTGAACAGAATTAGATAAACAATAGTTTACCCACCCTGTTAACTCGCACTGATTTACACATAACTCGTAATTATAAAAGATCGATTACTTTCAAAATATCGAATAAAAGTCTGTTAATAATGAAAGCCCTGAATTTATTAAATACATATATCGAATCAGGGAAGAAAATTTTAATTAAGCAACTCTGATGAACGTAACATTAAGTGGTAGATGGTAATTGCAAGATCCATTTAAACATTTTCATCAATTGATCGATTGCAATCGCGTGATTACATGTTTCAATCACGCTAATTGCAAAATGTCGATAAATATATCATTCAAACGATACTGTAAAATTAATTGTATTAATCTACTTGAATGGTGATAATTATGTTATTAAATGAAATATTTGCTACGTAGCTTAATAGATTTGTTTGTTAACAATTAAACTTATTAATTTCTCAGAAAGACCGTTCTTTTAATAGCATCGAGTGTCATCGATTTAGTAGCACTTTAGTATTGGTTCCAGTTGACTTCTATTCTAATTCTAACTCAGTGCCATCTCACTTCCGTTTCCGTATCAGAGCAACTTCTATTTCGGTGTAAATTTTGTCCTCCTTTCTAGAACGACGTTCTATTTTATTTCCTGCTTCTATAATACTTCTAAAAGCTTCAATACCTGGATAACCTTTAGCTGATATTCAGCACTTCAGTTAATTATCGGTTTATTTTTCGCCCATTGAAAGAGTCCTCATTGACTCTGGCTTCATTGATCAAAGGTTAATTAATACCTTTAATTTCCAAATAAATTATAACGAAGAATATCCTAAAGATAATCCCACGCAAATAATCGTAATTTCACGATAAATGATTGGAGATCGTTAGAATTTACGTGTAAGTAAACAGAATTACAGTTACACGGGCTGGATGTAAATATGCGTTGAACGTGATGCCAGAAACACACGGTGCCACCGTGTAAAGTTATCGTGAACAATACACATCCGATTTCCGTTAGAGAACATTCACGATGAGAAATTCAGTCGTGTTAAACTGTACTAGTTGATCGATCGATTAACGTCCAACAATAGTTTCATCTGAAAATGTTTGTAATGAGTTATAGCAACTGGATGGAGTTCGTAAATGGTCCATTCTGAGCGATCGGTCCACGATTTTATAAATTTTCTGATTTAACTTCTTGACAGGTTCCTAATGAATCCTTGCAACCTTTTTAAATAATATTATTTTTTAAAATAACTCGAAATTTTGTCGACTTCTAAAAACCACTTATCTCTGTTTTCTCCCTTTGAGGGTGATAATTATGGATTTATTTATAGAATTCCAAGAAAATCCTTATTAGGAAGTCATTATTAATTTTCTTGGAAAATTTATGAAACTTTTCACTTGAGTTTGAAATTGTTCTTTTTAAAAGAAAAAGTATCTAAAGGACGGTGAGAAGATGGATCGAATGACGAGCAATTTGCTTATTAAGAAACGAGCGATTGCTTTGAGCTTTCAGCTTGAGAAACTCGAGATCTCGTGTTAAAACTCGCTCGCCAAGTTTTCTGATTTAATGGCTTGGCTAATGATAAAATTCTGCCTGCGTCGAAGGTAAAAAGTTAACCCCACTTTGAATCGACCACTTTCCTCGCTTCGCGATTTTCGAAGAGACTCGTTGTCTTCGTTAAATAATTAACACAAGATTATTGTCGTTAAAATACAAAAATACAATTTACATTTTTCACTCTTCAATTATTTATTTTTAATTTCAAAATAGGTACATGTTCGACTCTTTATTTTTATGAAATCATATAACGAAAGGTTAATTAATTACCCGACAATTTTATGGCTGTGTGATAATATTAATTGGCTATCGTTAGAGCAGTAAATTCATTCGACTAGATTCATATAGCCATGGGAGCGACTATGTTTAACCATAATAACCGCTAACGACTGAGAGTTTCCACGTCGGAACTTCCGGAAACGAGGCATTCGCCTTGGCAGGAAAACGACCCTAGCCGTATGGCTAAGCCGAAAACGTTAAATGCCGATTACAGGCCGGCCAACAGTTCGGAATTTCACTTGGAAAGTTTCGATCCAACGAGGACGAGCTCTAGTCTAACTCGCGATGCCCTGATCCGCTCAAATTCATGACAATTTCATCGTTGATCGAAGTTTCGGAACATTAAGGAACACCGCAGGACAATGAACTTCGCTTAAACCTTGCTTCGGAAGCAGCTGCTAATTTTGACAACTATTTGGGTTAAAGTGTTAATTAGTCCCTCGATCTACACAAGAAATATCATATAATTAATAAAATGATTTTGCAGTTTTATAAGATCATTAATATTAGAACAATCAACTTATATCTATTTTTAAATTGAAATTAAATTTAAAATAAATGAAAAATAATGATGATTTTTAATTACAGATAATTAACGTGCTCTTTAGGCAATTTTCTTGATAAATGCCTATTGCATGCATTTCAAGCACAGAACTCGAAACACGATTATGTTGCAAAATTAGTGCATCAAGAATGGGAGAGTGGTGCATTGGATGCATTCAGTAGCTGATTATGCACCGGTGAACTACGCGGAAAGTTTGAGCCACATTGGCGAGCCGAACATCCTGCGACCCTCTTGTTAGTCAAATATAGTTGCAAAAGTTTCTCTGTTGCTGAGTGCATGTTAGTAGCGTCTAATTCACGTCAGAAATTCGTAAAATCGATCTGCTCTTGAAATTTTCATGTATACTGCAACACTGCGGCAGATGAAAGTTTTAAAACCAAACTTCTTTTATTCATGTTTTATATTATTTATTTGGAAGTTTGGAAATCCGTGTTTGGATGGCTAATTTTTAGGAATTTATTCAATTCATTTATTAGGTATTGCTATTAAATTTTTAAGAATTATTTCAGTTCTATTTATATCTTTTTTGATTTTAAAAAGTCGAAAACAATAGCAGTTTTAGAGATAGAAGCATAAAATAAAAAATGAACCATTTTCCTCTCGAAATTGACCATATACCATCGCTCGATCGCGTGCTTTTCTCTACCATAACGAAATAGAGTTAACATAATAAACGTGGAAATACTCGCGTGAATTGAAATAATAAAGATAAATTGTAGCTTGCCACGGAATAAACGCGGCTTGCTTGGATATATTTAATCCTCCATGGGGTTGAAATTGATACAAGTTTTTTTCTCCACGAACAAGTTATTGTTACCGGGATAATTTTCTGTTTTGATTAATTCCTTGTTTAATGCGAAACACGGTATAATTTGTATGAAAAACTACAGTGTCGTTTGAACAGCTGATCCTATTAATTATTTCCTGTTATAATTATTACAAATAACGTGAATAATGGAGGATTTTAAAATAAATTATACCCAAATATGAATCTATAGAAAATATGCCATGAAAGAAACTCAATATAAATTAAAAAAAAGAAAAAATATTTATTTGTGTATAATTATGAAATTATCATTAATCGAGTTATCATCTTACAAGTGATCAGAAAGCGTTTGATCACTTTTGAACAGGATGCTCCTTACAAGCTGCCAATTATACAACGGTTTATCAAACTCGCTTCACCGGAAGCTGTCAAACATCGAACGTCAGCTGATCAGTATCGAAACGAGGCGCATTGTTTCGCGTTGGGCGCGAGCGAAGATCGCCTCTCCATTACGTTGATTAATGTATCGCCCTGCGAAATTGGATTCATTATCGGCGCGAATTTTGATGTACCTCTGCGTACGCTCGTTATCGATACCGCTCTCGTTTGTTTCTGCAAATTTAACAAATTAGAGAGGGAGAGTTTGCCAGCTTTCGCATGGAACACAATGAGCAAAGTAACAAACAATCTCTAACGATTGAACAGTATTCTAATGATTCAACATTTTGACTGTTCTCCATTGAAATTGCAAGCAGGTCCCTTGATTTTATTTGCAGTGTCGAACAATAGAATTCTAGAATTTTTGAATATTAGAATTTTTTAATTTTGAGAAATGTAGGATTTTAAAATTTTAGTCTTAGATCCTTTGAATTTTGGAATTTTAAAATCAGAATCCTAGAAATACTAGAAGAAATATCGCCCCACCCCTGTTAGATTCGAAATTAATTAACAACCCTGTTGAAGGCAGTAGGTCAATAATTGTATCAGACGGGGTTTCTCCGGCCTTCGATCGATCTTCCGGTCACACAGAAACACCGAAAACGATGGACGTCTTCTTCGGGTAGGGAAATTGCGTCTAACTAGTTGAGGCAAGTTGCGTTGAAAGGCTTGCATTTCGCGTGGACAGCCTCTAATAGAAGCCGGACTGTTCAATGTGTTGGACAGCTCAGTATGAAACGCTTTTGCCACACGTTTCAATTGAACCGAAACAACGTTAGTAACGTAACCGGCTTCTACGTTGGTTAATTAACATTCTGACGTGGTTAGTAAAAGAGGTAGAAAGGAGAAATTAAATTATTTACATTATCATTTATCTATCGCTCCTCAAAATCGCTTCTGTGTTTGAAATGCATGCAATAGACATTTATCAAGAAAATTGCTTAAAGAGCACAGCATCTTTTTAAAAAAAAAAATAAAATAATTATTTCCCAGTCTGTAAAATTTCTAAGGGCTGTATAAAATTTTTCTTACATTTTCTCTTTGTTCGCACTAAACTTTCCTATCTTTTGACATTTATTTCCCTTCTTAAGAATATGCGTGCTTGGAAGCAACTGCGAACGACGATAGCGAGCGTACGTGTTTGCTCGTACAGGCTGAAATTGTTCTTAAGGGCATAACGAGGCAGGAACAATGAGTACAGAGAAGTGTAGATAACATCGACGTAGTAGAATATTTCGAGCGAATGTTCAAAGAGAGAACACTAAGGGAAGAGAATAAAGTGCAGCGTATCCAAAGGGAGCAATCGTTCCATTTATAATTGCTTTATATGTAACATTCTCTTGTATTCAAATAATCTATATATTACCTGCACTTTATTCCTTGCGTCAAAGGTAACGTTTAAAATCATAATAATTTATTAATCAGTCAAAGAATTTTTCTTGCTTTCCAAGAGTGAAATTTATTCCCCCAGTGAAACGATGCTCCATGATTTTCACGTTTAAAATATTCTACTAATTTTTCGCGACAAATTTAATTCCAGCTTTTGCAGTTTATCGTAAGTATAAAGAGACATTGCATATTTTACCAGTTGAAATTATAAATCTTGATTTTTAATCCCACCCCTTTGAGTGTGGGTAATTTATTTTTAATGAGGTCCTCTTTGGATTCTATTTTTAAAATCAAAATTATCCACATTCAAGTTGAAAGGATTGAATGATAAGCATCGAAAAAATGCTACGAGTATCTATGATATCTACTGAATAGAAGCTGGTTTTCCTATAGAAAATCAAGGTAAAGGAGGAGAAAAAGAGGCATGGTCCAAGGTATCACGTAACCACGTACAGCGTAACTGCTTTAACTTAATTATGCCGACAAATTGTGTAACGTAAGTTGGTATAATGTGCTTGGAGTTTACGAGAGCTACGGCACAGATGCCTTGAAATTGCTCAATAATAGCGACAATAATGCTCTAATTAGCGTAGCACGCTTGAACTGTGCAGCTGCACGTGAACTCGCCATTGGATTAGAAATTTTTTTTTTTATTTTCTGTTTCAATTTTCTATATCTCCAGTTTGAGAATTATTCGATATTCAAATTCTCGTGATTAATTATTGTTTACACGAACAACGTCCATCTGGAATTAGTAAATATTTAGAGGAAAAGTTATCAGCCAGGTTGAGGGGAAAATTTCTAGATGAAAAGTTGTTCGTTGTAACTTCGATGCAATGACAAATGGAACTGTAGATGGAAGTTAGAGACAGAACTAACGCAGCTCGACGCAAATACTTGATACAGTTGGTCCATTTCGAAAATTACATTGAAGCAAGTTCGCAGGGTCGCGCGAAATTTCACCAGGTTCTGGAACAAGTTCCCGACGAAAGTCGATAGTTTATCGACCGGAAGTTTTCAGCGTCGACCATCTTGCCGGTTTAATTGACTGTTAGTCGAACTTCTTTGAAAAGGGATGTTTATGATTACTCGAGACGGCGAAGGGGTTAAACTTTTTACAGGAGGCGAAGCGAACGAACTTGATCATTGACTGAAAGTTACTGATGCTTGAAAGTAGGTAAAAACTTGTTGAAAAGAATTATGAGAATCTTGAAAAAATACTTTCGTTTTATTATTAAAATAATTAGATACAATAAATGATTGAAGGTTGTAAAATAAATTAGCTTGTCCAATCGTTCTTTATTTTTGTAAAAATGAATATAACATTTCTGTAATTAAAATACGAAATTGGAACGCATGAAACTACAAAATATTATGAAATTCTCCATTTTTTAATTAACTGATGTATTGGTGTGCTTTTCCACTCTAATAACCAACATTTTAATTAATTATATTCAAAGGGACGAATTTCTAAGAAATATTCTTCCCGCTCCACTCTATACCTTCAGTTATGTAATATAATTATATAATTACATATAATTCACCGGTAGAAATTTTGATAACCACATGTGATTGCACCCAGTCGTTGATTAACACGTCTACCTGTCACACCATTCGAGAAGTTTGTCTATGGTGTATATCGAAACATCAAGGATAAAAGGAAGTACAGTGAAACAGAACAGTGATACTCGGTGGTGAGATGACGAAGTGCTCGGCTAACGCAATTAACCTGATGACACGATGATGACGCGGCTGGCTGGTAAGCCATTAAAAGCATAGTCACAGTGTAACAGGATCTGAGCGCATCCTGTAATTAGTTGCACCTGTAAAAGCTCCTTGGTGAAGGATTTTGACGGGAGCAAAAAGAATCAAGTTACCTTACTTATTCCTACGTAAATATGAAATTAAAAGATTCACCATTCTAATAACGATAATTTGATCTCAACGCTGGAATTAATAATATTTAACCGGAATAACTCTCAATGCTGTTAGCACTGACAGTGGTAATATTTAAATTGATTAATGCTAAATAATATTGGGGTTGACAGTAATAATATTTAACTCGATTAACGCTGATAGTATTAATATTTAACTCGATTAACGCTGACAGTATTAATATTTAACTCGATTAACGCTGACAGTATTATTATTTAACTCGATTAACGCTGACAGTATTAATATTTAACTCGATTAACGCTGACAGTAATAATATTTAACTCGATTAACGCTGACAGTATTAATATTTAACTCGATTAACGCTGACTTTATTAATATTTAACTCGATTAACGCTGACAATATTAATATTTAACTCGATTAACGCTGACAATATTAATATTGAACTCGATTAACGCTGACAGTATTAATATTGAACTCGATTAACGCTGACAGTATTAATATTTAACTCGATTAACGCTGACAATATTAATATTGAACTCGATTAACGCTGACAGTATTAATATTGAACTCGATTAACGTTGACAGTATTATTATTTAACTCGATTAACGCTGATAGTATTAATATTTAACTTGATTAACGCTGACAGTATTAATATTTAACTCAATTAACGCTGACAGTATTAATATTGAACTCGATTACCGCTGACAGTATTAATATTTAACTCAATTAACGCTGACAGTATTAATATTGAACTCGATTAACGCTGACAGTATTAATATTGAACTCGATTAACGCTGACAGTATTAATATTTAACTCGATTAACACTAAACAATATTATCGCCAATGGTAATAATATTTAACTCAACTAATGTCAAATAGTATTAGAGTTAACAGTGATAATAATTAACTCGACTAACGCTGACAGTGGTGATATTTAAATCGACTAACGTTAAATAAAACTCAATCCTTTATCTATGGCTTAGAATAATTCATCCCAAAGGCATAGATTGGAAAATAGTATTTTTCATTTATTTCGGTACAAAGAATCTACAGTTTTCGCGATATGTACAATCTTCTCGATCTACTCGATATTTAATATATATGTTGGTACATGGCGATTGATTATAATATATGGTGGTGGTTCGCGATAACCGAAGCACGTTAATCTACGAGCAAACACGGAGCCACATCGAGAGCCGCGTGAACGTCAATATTTATTCGGTAGATTTTCATTTAATATATCGATGGATACATCGGATGCTGGTTCCTACAGCAAACACCTGGCTTTATGCAATACTCGACAGCTTTGAGTGGATGAAAATCTGTTAAGATAATTGTATCGAACATTTGAATCGTTTTATTCGGTCGACGTTTCATCAAACCACCCGCAGTTAAAATTGTAAAATAACAAAACAATTATCCGACAACAGCCTTCTGTAGTTTTATTAATTATTCTGTTTGTTTTACATTTAATTACCCCTACAAATCCTTTCCGTTTCCCCGTGAAAATGATGCAGCAAAACTGACAAAGCACCTTACGACGCTCGTTAGGAGACACGAAGCGTGATATGTAAATCGTGGAAATTGTAAAAGGGACAGGAAAATTGTTGAAGCAGACAGGACGATCAGAAGTATTGTACACCTTGATGCACACAAGCGGTTGTGCGAGTCTGTACATGAAATATACATAATGGTTACGAGGGTACGCATTGTGCGACGTCTCCGGGGGATGATTTGCACGCTTCGCACCGTGAAGCGTTATTTAACGATGAATTTCGGTAACATCGAAAGTGAATTCTAACGCGAAACAACATTAATGCCGATGTCACGCGCAAACCTCATCTTCGTTTTCGTAAATATAAATTGACAACTAGATGCAAGATTGTGATATATTGTTTTCAAATTGTATTATTCATAAATTCTTCTGTCGCGTTTAATATGCGTTATTAGTTCGATCGGGAATTCCTTTTAAAGGAAAATTTAATAAGCCGGTCAGTTATTGCATCGATATTTTTCGTTAATATTAATCCTCCGGGACCTTCGTAAAATTGCTTTCTCTCCTTAATTTTCCCCCCCGTTCCTTATGTTTCTGCAAGTTAGGAAATTCCACGGAGCTAATATTTCGCGCCAAAGGGTGCACTGTAAGAAATTACAATTTCATGAATTCGAAATCTGCTATGGGAAGTTTGCTCTCGACAACCGAGAAGGCTCGTATTTTTCCAACAACCTGCAACAGCTTGCACGAAGTAAGCTTGCTTGTACCAGGATGAAATGAAATTTCACGTTAATTGCGATTCATTGAGCGATAAACTTTATAATAAATTCGTTGATACACGTTAACGTGCGCTTTCAGCTTCACGATTTAAAAAATTTCACGCTTCTTTAATAGCGATTTTTAGAGAACATTGCTGGTATTATTTTCTACTTCGTTTCTTAAATGAAATCATAAAATTTTTATAGAAATTATTTAGAGTTTATATAATCCTGTTAAATATTGATTTAATTAAAAAGAAAAATTGTTATGTTAAATCATGAATAAAATTTTATAAAATTAAATCAACACCCCTGCCATTAATCTTTGCCAAAAAAAGAAGATTCCCAATTTCCTATTAACTTTTTTTTAATTTTTCTGTTGCAGGACCCGCATCACCCTTGCCAGAACTAACAGGGTACAGTCGTTGTGGGTACACCCTGGTACTGAAAGGGTTGGTTTTTCCCCAATGGAAGAGAAGAGTCCTAGCTGTCATTGGATCCAGGCTGTTCCTTTATCCGGGTAAGTGTTCTTCTTCACATTCTTCTACCATAAAAAACATCTGGTAAGAATGGCACCTCGAGGCTCTGTGAAACGAGCAAGAAAAGAAAGAACTTAGAAAGTTGTAGGTTCTGTATCCTTGTCCTTTCTTCTGTTTCATTCTATTGCAAATATTATTTACAATTCCCCAAATAACAAAAGCCACAGACAAGTTTTAAACTTACCACCGAGTCGAAAGAAAATATCCTCTTCATCAGAACTTTTCCAACCCTTATCTTCAACTTTGATTCATCTTCCCGGTATCAAGAGCGTTCCTCGATGGATATAGCATTATTTCGATACAAGTAACTCCGTGACTGATAAGTGAACTTTAAATTGGATTTCTTTCCATGATGGGAACCGCGAACGCTTTAGCCTACCATCCCCCTTCGTTGGATAAGGGCTGTCAGCAGGGATGAAAACATCCGTTTCATTGGTTCCCCGTGGACGATGGAATGGTATACTCGTGTTCCGAGCAGCTGTCGGTTTTTCTCATAGTTCGGATAACTTCGTGACTGGAATAAGGAATATTGTATGTCTTAGTTGCTCGACGCGAGAGTAAATCTGGTCTGGATAACGTTGAACACTAGTACTGTATCCTCTAGGGGGTTTCAATTCTTTCTTGGAGGATGTTTCTAAATAAATAAATTCAAACAACTCGACAGGAGCGTTTAGCTTCAAAAATTTCCAGTATTTCTTGCAAGATGTTGGACATATTGAGAAAAATAGATAGACGAAAAAATTGCAACGATGGCAATCGATATCGAGGCAACTCGGTCATCAATTTCAAATCGCCACGAAGCCTCGATAAAGCATCGTTTTAAAAAGCTAACAGATCCACCCGCAAAAAACAATTAAGGTTTATCGATAGGGCCATCATCGACGATTACCCGTTCGCGTGTTTCAGAAAAATTTCAACCGACACATTACAAAACAGAATAACATATATACGGCGAGTGTTTCGCGAAGTAAAAAGACGTTTAAGGGAAAGCAATGTACGTCCATCAACGTCACACGTTGCGAACAATTTTTCAGAAAATGGTTATCGTTTATCGATCAATCGCATTCGAGCCTCGAATACGGATTTTTAAAACAGTAATTGCACGCCATCGGGGTGAATCCTTTCGGTGAAAGAAATTCATGATCCGTGACACGCAGCAGGGGATGGTGACAAGATCGTTTCACGGGAAGGGATAAAGAACAGGACGTAGATAAATCATGGTGTTTCATGGAAAGGGGTTGAGCCCGTAGATGCGCGGGGATCGAGGCATGGATGTTTTCTTTTTAACCCCCCAGTGACGGGCTTTTATCTTCTCGAAGAACTTGCGGACATTTACGTAAACGGTAGGGGGATTACTTTTTCTAGAAAAAGTATCCATCATATACCTTGAGCGCCGTGTTTGTTTAAGGTGAAAAATTCTGGATGGAATATTATATTTAGTTTGAGATAAGAGTGCTAATACTTGATTCACGAAAATAATTACAATCTTAAAGACTCTTATTGATAGAAAATAGTGAAAATATATTATTTTTCTCATTTTAAATATTTCCAAATAATTATTTATTTTCATTTGTGCCTTGAAGATTAGTGCTAATGTTTTTAATTATAAAAGAAAGCATTAGAAATGAATTAGAATTAGAATGTATTAGAAAAGCATTAGAATTAAGTATGAAACTTGATCTTTTGAGATAAGGGTGCCAATACTTTCCTTGATTCACGAAAATAATTACAATTTTAAGGACTCTCATTGATAGAAAATAGTAAAAATATATTATTTTTCTCATTTAAAATATTTCCAAAAAATTGTTTATTTTCATTTGTGCCTTGAAGATTGGTACTGATTCTTTTAATTAACAAAGAAAGCATTAGAAATGAATTAGAAATAGAATGTATTAGAAAAGCATTAGAATTAAGTATGAAACTTGGTCTTTTAAGATGAGGGTGCCAATGCTTTTCTTGATTCACGAAAATAATTAAAATCTTCAGGACTCTCATTGATAGAAAATAGTGAAAATATATTATTTTTCTCATTTTAAATATTTCCAAAAACTTATTTATTTTCATTTGTGCCTTCAAAATTGGTGCTGATGTTTTTAATTAAAAAAGAAAGCATTAGAAATGAATTGTTAAGTATGAAACCTGGTCTTTCTTAAGATTGGGTCTTGAATTATCCGGCATTCGTTGTTCGAAGGGTGAGAGTCAATGCATAAAATCAATTGATCCATGAGATAAATTCGATAAGAGATATTTCATGAAGTTTGTGCAAATAGAAAAAAAGATTCGTTCCAATCTGTAGGGTTGAATTTGGATAGGTATCATCCTCGCATACGAACGTCGAGAATCAGGCCGGATAACCCGATGAAGATCGCTCAAAAAAGCTAATCACGTCTGTCTGCAGCGAGTCGATTGCGATTGCGATTGCGATTCCTCGCAACGGGAACACGGACGAGCTGTCGTTCGTAAATTGCATCCTGCAAAAAACAATGCACCGTTCCGCCGGATAAAACGGCCGAAAAACGAAATGTCTTGTTCCGAATTAATCGATCGGGAAGTTTTCGAGTATTCCTAGCCTATCCGCCTCCGAAACGTGCAAAAACAAAAATGGAACAGAGGACGATTAACCGTTCTTTGTATTGGAAACATTTATATTAGCTCGTTGGGTTTCTAAGTGGTACAAAGTAAATCAATTTCCACTAATTTGGTAAAATTTTGAAATCCGAAATAGGAAGAAAATTTTGATTCATTGGGTAACTATGGAGGGACCAGAATTCTCCTTTCACTATTCTGAGATTCTAAGATTCTAAGATTCTAAGATTCTAGGATTCTAGGATTCTAGGATTCTAAGATTCTAAGATTCTAATATTCTAGTGTTCTAATATTTTCTAATATTCTAATATTCTAATATTCTAATATTCTAATATTCCAATATTCTAATATTTGAATATTCTAAGATTCTAAGATTCTAAGATTCTAAGATTCTAATAAGATTCTAAGATTCTAAGATTCTAATATTCTAGTGCTCTAAAATTTTCTAATATTCTAATATTTTAATATTCTAATATTCTAATATTCTAGTGCTCTAAAATTTTCTAATATTCTAATATTTTAATATTCTAATATTCTAATATTCTAATATTCTAATATTCTAATATTCTAATATTCTAATATTCTAATATTCTAGTGCTCTAAAATTTTCTAAAATTTTTAAGATCTCATTTTCTAACATTCTAAGGTTCTAAGATTCTCATAAAATCTTGCAAAAAAAGTTCATAGTTACAGCAATGTTAGATAGAAAGGAAAGAAGAAAACGAGGAAAGTTGAAAGGTTTTCGATGATTTGAAAAATCTTGAACAGAACAATTGAAAAAAAACAAAAGGTTATATCTGGTGTGTGTTTTCCGTGGTTCATTGTGTGCCATTTATAGCCTGGAAAAATAACAAGGGTTCGGTATTCGTAGAAATAAAAAAAAGAAAAAAAAACACGAGGACGATTTTATTCCGAGCACGTATAGCAGAGCGATGTTCAGCTTCGTTGTCATTTGATAAAAATGTCTGAATCAAGGGACGTTTGTATGGATCCGGGGATATTCGTGTCGATAGTGAAATGGCATGATACAGGAAATGGTTGTGGCACTGTAAAAGGTGCAAAACACCTTTGTAAATACGCTTTGATCTGGCTGAAAAGTATCGAGCACGATGAAAAGTCCTATCCTCTTTTACGAACGATCAGGGTTCCCAGAAATTGGCCAGATTCATTCTTTTTAGAAAGCCATACGCGACGAGCCTTGGCACTGATACAAGAATTTATCGAAATAGAAATAAAAATAGAAAATTTTACTCTAATTAACATTAACGATTCTTCGATTCTGTCGATGGTAACAACAAATTCTATTCTTTATTATCTTCCCAACGAATTAAACAATCGTTATCGCAACGATACAAAATTTCCCATCAGAACAGTATCAACAGAGTTGCAAGTAAAAGCAAGCCAGAAGTTTGCATCTAATTAAAGATCGACTGCTAATTAAGGCGAACTAGCCGAGGAGAAACAGCCTGATTCACAGTTTCATGGCGTTGTTGCGGCTACGGAAACCGGAAAGTAAATAAGTTTGCCGAAAGAGGAAGTCAGTGAACAGGAACTGGATGATCCTGACCAGGTTGTTTGCTGTTGATCCAGCAAGGCCACCCGATGGTGAACACCTGTTACCGTCAGCTATCTCGGATTTAATCAAGCCACGAATCCCGAAGGAGCAGCCAACCGTCAAACCGTGTCCTCCTTGAAATGCTGAAAAAGGTGAATTTCAAGTCGGCTCTTTTGCCAGTTCGATGCAATCCTTGAGGTTGTAGTTCATCCTTACCAATGCTTTCTATCAAGGATCTTCGCGATACCTCTTGGAATCCGCTTATTCCATTGATAGTTGTCGATACTTTGCTAAATACCATTGAATGCTGAATGGAGATGAAACTTTAAAGTTTTAATGGAAAGCTCTATGGTATCTTACCATTCCATTATTGGCATATTTAGAGGAAATTTTAATTTTAATTAATTTTAATGTAGATTTCCTAAGATCCCTCTATTATACTTCTAATGTCACTTTTATTTATGAAGCAATTTTTCTTTGTCAAAGAAAATTGTAACATTGACAATAGTTTATACTTAAATGACATTGTCGCGTTATTTGATAAAAACGATCGGCAAACACTGCGGATGAGTCTTATATCCAGGCAGAAAATAGAAAATCCCATTTTCCCTGAGGGTGATTCAATTACAGGTACACGGTCACCACGAGGCCGATTTATGTTGGATAAAAGCTCGGTTCCCTCGATTCGTGTTGCAGATTATGAATTTCCAAGCGTTCGATGAATATTTACACGGTCGTTCAGTTAGTTTTTTACATCGAGTTTCATCGTTGTTGTTATTATTCGTTAGAAAATTCTCAGTGGTTTAATGGTCGGACGAATCGTACGTGTTTGCTACTTAATTGTTGGTAAAAATTCATTCGTACCTTTTGAAACTATCCAAGATTCAACTCTTTAATTCGAATTTATTTATTAAGCAAAATTCCACGAAATCTCGAACGTGGGAGAGGAATACTTAGTTCGTGAAAGAGAAAATCAACAGCGTCAAGTTGAGACGACGATAGCAATCACGTCGATCCAGGCAGCAACCACGATTAGCAGAGTGTCGACAGAGAAACGAGAAGCTTTTCGACGATCTACGGTACGGATTAGCGGTACTCGTTAAAATCGAGTCGCTTCGTCGACGGTAAGCGGCGTTAATCGGAACGTAGTCGACACTGATGCCAGACGAAACCAGCAGATTTGTTTCGAAGTCGTTAAAGAGCCGGAGGCCAGCTCGACTCGAGGCAATTCCTAATTGAAACTGACCGCAGTCGCAGTTTAAATCAGCAAACAGCAGGGATTCGACTCTGCTTCACCCATCCTACTTGTCCCACCCTGATTACTATGTTTTTAGGAGTACCTCCAACTTGGACCCGTACCTATTAACCTATGTACTCTACGAATCAATCTAGATTCATTAAGATTAATTAATCGATTAAAATGAAGCATCCCTCGCGAAGGTAGATGATTGATTTAATTTGAAAATACTTATTTTATATTTCTAATTGTCACTTCGAGTGATCCTAATTTGAAAATGAAATATCCCTCGCGAAGGTAGATAATTGATTTAATTTGAAAATACTTATTTTATATTTCTAATTGTCACTTCGAGTGATCCTGATTTGAAAATGGAACATCCTTCGCGAAGGTAGATAATTGATTTAATTTGAAAATACTTATTTTATATTTCTAATTGTCACTTCGAGTGATCCTAATTTGAAAATGAAACATCCCTCGCGAAGGTAGATAATTGATTTAATTTGAAAATACATATTTTAATTGTCACTTCGAGTGATTCTAATTTGATGGTTGAAAACTATAATTGATTCAATTGCACCCTTAGCACCTTAAGCTGGTAACTTTGCATCAAGTTTTGTAGTAATTTATTTACAACTTTATAACAGGAATATTAATTGTCTGCTTAAGAAAAGAAAATAACTTTATATTTGAGCTGGCTTAGGGGATTAATAACTTAAGAATCCTTTCATCGTTTTTTTTTTTTTTTTTTTTCATTTTCTTTGGAAGAGACAGTATTATTGCATTGAGCCATGTCGTTCGTCGGGAGTGCATTAGCATGGTAAGAAAAAGTTTTCCTGATCGCTGAATAATGAACCGAAGGGTTGACCAACCCCCGTGCTCGAAAGCTTTTCGGAAAGTTTTAATTGCCCGCACTCCGGCCACCAGTTTGCCCCGTTGTTACTTCGTGGCGCGTTGATGAGGTTACTGATCAATCGAACAACTCTTCTTCCTCTTCTGAATAAACCCCCGATAAACTTTCCGTTTTTCTTCGCCGTTTCTTCGCGTTGCTTCCATTAAATTAATCGACTTCCATTCGAAATACCTTCGGCATCGCTTTACGATCTTTTTATTCACCCTATAATTCCCTGCATTTGGGGGAGGGACTTTCTAGAAAAGAGGGAACCGTGTGCTCTTAACAGAAAATTATCAATCACTTAATATATTTAAAAATAAAATGCAACAGAGGATAATGTTATAATATTTATAATATAGCCACATTTTGAATTAAATTCTGTTTTAACCGACGATATGGATTATCCTCGCGAAACAGTTGACCCACAAGGGGTTCGAAAACTCGTGCGTACATATTAACGAACAATTGTTTTCAACCACAAACATATCAACAGCAACTAATCATTTTCCCTGTCAGGTGAACACGTGCAACTCGGCCATAAGTCCCATAAGGTTTTCGCGTAAAATATGATATCGTATCGTGATACTTGTGGAAACATTAATGAATTGTATATATACATGCTCCCGAAACGAAACTGTATTAGCTTTCCAGCAAATAAAAGTAGAGCTGTTTAAATGAATACGAGAGATATTAATTGCAGGTTGGAAATTATTGCGTTCTAGCTTTGTTAAATTTTCCTTTAGAAATGAGGTATTGGTAATTTTTAATCTGAACATTCTGAAACTCGATATTTTTTCATTTTCTACATTTCACCGGGTACTTCATTTATTGTTAATTATTTTTAATTATTCTAAAAGTGCAATTAATTTTTTTTATAAAATGAATCTGGATATATTTAATTAGAATACAGGTATTTTAAAAATAATTTGGAGTACTTGTAACGTCAATGAAACAATGTACTCCAGATTTCAGTCCGTAGCTAATACCGAAAGTGTCCCCTGTTGTTTCCATCGTGCTCTATCCAAACAGACTGAACGCCGATCGCGCAATTAGCCGACGGACGATAAATTCCCAGAATCAAACAGTCGCGAAGTTTTTGACAGTGACAAACGCGCGGACCGTTTGGTTCATCTAATTACACCGAGATAGGGATGGCAGCTGTCGATTGATGCCGGAACGATGGATGCCAGGTTTGCGTTCGTTTCCACGGCTGTTCGGAGCCACGCCTAAAGCGCGGTGGTTTGACAACACGCTCGTCACCGTGATCGAATTTTACCCGGCAAAACACCGTCCTGTAAATCAGATTTTATTTCAACCAGGCGCCGATGATGTAGAATCGAAATCGACCGATGGACGTCCCTCGAGTATTCTGGTTTGCGGTAATCACATCCTGCAAGAACCGTGATCGCGTTCGATTGACTGTAGAATGAATTTTATGGCTCGTCTGAAGCTTTTTTTAAGGGTTAGAATATTCTATAACGCATAATCAGATAAGTAGAATCAGTGGCTAATTGGTCAGACAAATAGAATAAAATGGAATGAAATTATAATAGATAGTCAGGGAAGTAGAATAAACCTGTAATTAGTCAGACAAGTGGAGTAAAGTTTATACATGGTCGAACAAGTAGAATGAATAACTAATTAGTAAGACATAAGTAAAATAAGCCTTAATTAATCAGACCATCCTTAGTAGAATGAAGGGATAATGAAACCTCTGTAGATAGTCAGACAAGTAGAACATACCAGTAACACCTCAGACGCATAAATTAAAGTCTGTAGCTGGTTTAACAAGTAGACTAGGTCAACGTATGGACTCGCATAAGTAGAACGCTGCCCATAAACTTTCATTCAAATCAGTGGGATTCGTGGGATTCCCCTGTGAATATAATTAACATACAGTAGTTGAATGCTGATGGTCATAATGAAAATTCCGAATTTAACGTAACGTTATGCTAAAATTTCGACTAATAATTTTCACCTCCAATCTAAATTTCATCGAATCTATCTCTTAATCGCTCTTCAAAATTTAACAGCGGAAATTTTTATAACGTCGAAAATAATATTTCATTTTTCCACTGCGGATCGATCGTCAATTTGTAACCCGTTCAAATAATTACATCTAACGTCTGACGAATCGGGAACGTTCGAATAAGCGGGTTAAATGGACGGTAACTAAACTCGAAATCAATCATCATGATTCCAGCCTGTCCAGAATCCCGACCCGAATGGATGGAGCTAGCCGGTGGTGGTGGTGCCGTGTGTTATGCCCCGTCACGTCTTGGTAAACTCGTGCTGCGTATCACTGGATTTCCAAGGGTCACTCAACAGTGTCATCAAAGTCAACAACAAGGGGACAGTCACCATCGCGAGACGCGACACTTGTATCTTGGCTTTCACCACCCGTGGGACAGGGACTTGTGGAAAAGTTGGATTAAACAGGTGAGTCGAACTCCGACGTACGACTCCAGTTGGATAGAAAAGTTTTCCACTTCTACGTTCCAATTCTTTTTCCTTTTCTCTTTTTTTTTCTAAGAGTAAAAGTTTAGTTTGTAGTACTGTTTCGGGAAATTTTGTCGAATTTCCATTGCATTGTCGACCTATGCAGGTTAAGGATTAAATTTTGTCGACGGCGTGGAGTTATAAAATTGAAACGATTCATTCGTTGCTTTTTGTTCTCGTCTGTAGGAAAAATGTTCGATCGATTGTTAACTCCTGGAGAGCAATTTAGTCTGCTCGAAATTTAAAGTAATCGCGTATTAAATCCAGTGAGTTGACGGTGGTTTTAGTACTTGTAATTGAAAATTAAAGATACTTCATGGTACAGCTGTGATTTAATCAACACTAAGTATTAAATAAAATATCATATCGTAAATTCATGAAATTCAAATACTCTATTGTTTAGAAGGTTACAGTACCGGATATAGTAGGCTTCTTTAAGAAAAATGACGATATAGGGGAAAGAGGGCACTGAGCCCTAGAAATTCTAGGGTGCCTTAGACTTCCTAGGGAAAATGGTGATGCAGGGGAAAGAAATCTCTAGGAAATTTTGTCTTTTAGAAGTCTAGGGTTCCCTAGAATTTTATCTTTTGGAGATCTAGGGTTCCCTAGAATTTTCGAAGGTTTCCTAGGACTCCCTAGAATTTTGTCTTCCGAAAGACAAAATTTCTCAGAAATTAGCCAGGAATAATAAAATTCAGTTGCCATCGATATTAATTAATTCAGATTAGAAAAGACAGAAGTGTCTTCGCGTTAACTCCTGGAGAGCAATTTAGTCTGCTCGAAATTTAAAGTAATCGCGTATTAAATCCAGTGAGTTGACGGTGGTTTTAGTACTTGTAATTGAAAATTAAAAATACTTCATGGTACAGCCGTGATTTAATCAACACGAAGTATTAAATAAAATATCATATCGTAAATTCATGAAATGCAAATACTCTATTGTTTAGATGGTACAGTACCGGATATAGTAGGCTTCTTTAAGAAAAATGACGATATAGGGGAAAGAGGGCACTGAGCCCTAGAAATTCTAAGGAGCCTTAGACTTCCTAGGGAAAATGGTGATGCAGGGGAAAGAAATCTCTAGGAAATTTTGTCTTTTAGAAGTCTAGGGTTCCCTAGAAATTTATTTTTTGGAGATCTAGGGTTCCCTAGAATTTTCGAAGGTTTCCTAGGACCCCCAAACGACAAAATTTCCCAGAAATTAGCCAGGAATAATAAAATTCAGTTACCATCGATATTAATTAATTCAGATTAGAAAAGAGAGAAGTGTCTTCGCGAAATCCTCTGTTCGAAAGATATTCAGCCAAAATGCGAAGTTTAATCGCTGAACGCGTTTCTTCGAATCGAGGGGGATTAAATGAGTTGCCAGTTTCAATTAAACGGTGCGATTACAAAAGAAGCCTCCTATCCCCTCGCCCCGAAGAAAAGCCATTTGGTCACGGTCTATTTAATTTTCAGTCTGACTTTTAACGCTCGCTTTTCTGCCAGTGCGTTTCTTCGTTCTTAAGCTCGGATAGAATAGAATTTAAAGTAAATACCTGTTTATCGAGCTAATTCATTTAAGGTTCTTTATCCTTCTTATAACAAACGGAAAAGAGTTGTTGGAAGAAAAATAGACTCGATGTACACAGTGATAAAACAACACAAAGTTTAAAGAGAGGGGAGGGGTGGAAAAAGAGGGAAAACGTGTCAAAAGTGAGGTGACTTCCGTCAGGAGTTTTACAGTTGAAATCAATCTTGAGAAAGGGGCGGCTGTGGGTGGTGGCAGTCAATGTTTGCCAGACAATCGCAGTCGACTTAAACTTTAAGCTTCCACGAACGAAAGCAATTCTCGAGAAGCTGGTTGGCCTAACTCCTGGAAGAATGAGCGATCCTTATCCCTCTCGGTGACCCGTTTGAATTTTGCATGACATCCTCGAAATGAGCGACCCCTTTGATACCACAGAAACAGGATAAACTTTGAGCACAATCGACACTAATGTTTAAGGGTATGAAAGAATCTTTAAAAAAAAAATTGTTAGAATCTGCTGACGTCTCTAATGAAGACAAAAAAGTTCTTTTCTAGAGGCTTGCCTTTTTTCTATCTTCGAAAATTTAGGGATTAATTAGTTGTTTTAATAATTTATATAATAATTCAAGATTAAAATTGCTTTGATGAATATTAAAATCTAATAATCATTCACAAAAGGAGACTTAAGAATTTATTGAGACTCTATTCTTACGTTTCATGCACATGAAAATTTTACAAAATTAATATAGAATTATTTTATGTAATGTAATAAAATTTATAAAACTTTAGAAAGAGTCGAGTTGTCAACAGTATCATAGGTATCACAGATATTAAAATCCAGAAGTCATGAAAGGTGACCCAATAAACGTTTATTACGATTTTACTCTTGCAATATTCATGCAATATTTTGCAAAATAACGTAAGAAGGTTTAATACCCGGTTACCATTGAATCTCCCTATCAAAGCAATATACTTGTCAATAAAAACGGTCGTCTCGAACTCCAATTCTCTCCAATGGTCAGGACACACGTGTTCAACTTAAAATTCGGAATTCTTCGTCCATATCGAAGGAGATTCAATAAAGTCGATCTGACCAGATGGTCGGATCTGGACAGTTGAATAGTTTGCATGTGGATCGTTATCCAAGGTATAGAGATATGTAAGAAAAGGCAGTTTCTCTGAGATTTCTTCGAACACTAGGCTCACTCGGCTGACTTACGGAATTATATCTTCTTTGTATGGGATTCCATTGACCCGTCTCTTTTCACTGTTCCGACTGTTGACCGGAAGTCTCTTAAAGAGATACCTAAGCCCATTCTGGACAGACGTCGATGCTGGCAGGGATAAAGAATGCAAGCTGGTTCGATAAGCACGGCATGGAATTCAATCGGCATCGTCCGACCAATATTTCATATTTCCCGATATTAGCGGCACGAAACTCAGCCGAGTAGTTTCTACGTTTCTAGAACTGGAAGCTTGGGGCCAATAACTGATACGGATCGATGATTAGAAAAAGAGAAATAATGTTGCCCTGGTATGGCAGGATTTGTTTGCGATGGAACTGTTGGCCTGTCCAGGGAAATTTGATCGATGGTAGTTCATTAATTCTAGCGAAAAAATTTACCAGGTTTTACGAGGTTGAAATTTAAGAATTTTTGAATTCAGAAATTTGGAAACTTAGGAATTTGGGAACTTGGAAAATTTAGTAGCTTAAAAGTTTGGAAATTTTACAATTCAAAAAACCTATTTATCTAAAAATTGATAACTCTTTCATCGAATGAATTATTTTCCTTGAGATTAGTCAAAGATAGCGTAATGTTCCTTCGATTACGCGTTTTTAATAGGTTTTCTTTACGTAAAGCGCTTGCCTTATTCTCAGTGATGGATGGAAGTTCAACAGCGACACGAAATCTTTTTGGAATCCCAAATCGGCGTAGGACGTCTTTTAAATCCGATAGGATCTGAAGTTTCTTCTAAACTATAAATCTAACCAGCAATAAAATTTCTTCCAAATTCTCCAATTAACGTTCATAATAATAAATTGTGCCATGCATAACTTTTTACCCTTGGTAATCAGAATACCAAAAATTATTCTACCGATTCGAAACGCGCTCGTTCGATCTGCTCGACCGTGGTCAATCATCAGCGATTATGATACAATTTCGCCGGCAGAGATGCGTAAATTGAGTTTGATCCCGGTGAATTAGCGTCTGCAACACCTAGCCAACTATGCACGAGCTGGACAAGTTCAGCAACCTCTTGTCCCCGTCGCTGCAATTCGATTAAACTGCATCAAAACGCAGCGGGATGCACGTGTTTGGCCTCGTTTGCGAATTCACCTGCACGTGTATCTCTTTGATTCGCTTGCCAGTACAGATCGACTCGGTTAATCAAATTATTTTCTGTCGTTTCCTAGTCATACGATTTTCCGCCCTTTCTCAGGCAAATTCGAATATCCTTTGATCATTCGTAACCCAGATGGGTGAACTTTTTTAAAAATTATTCGATTAAATTCGTGCCTCAGAAAAAGAGAAACGTTTACACGAGTAATAAGTGAATTGAGGATGAATTGTAATATTGATGATCAAATGGTACGATTGAAATTTCTTCCTTCTATATAATGGATAAATTGAAATGAAATTCATTTTGATTACAATTTTCATTGATACATAGTGTATTAAATTATTTATAACGCGTGATAGAAAAATACTTATTACCAAACAAAAGATAACGTTGTGTCACTAAAGGAAATGCAGAGAAGAAAATTGTTGGAAACACGAGATAGCATAGAATTGCTTGCACGTTTGCAATACAGTATCGTTGGCGAAAGGATCAATTGAACAGAAGTCCTGTAAACGTAACCGGTGATTTGGTGAAACGCCAGCTGTTATCACGAATCGTGTGTACAAGGACAGTCAATTCTGATTATGCATCACGATAACATACGACAGGAAATCACATGTATTACCGTCAATAAAAAGCCAGATCAATGGGAATATCCTCCGTATGGAACGGTATTACTCACTTGAATAATCGTAAGCCTCTCGGATAATTTCAAAATATCATTTAGAAGCTTAGAAGTTTGGTAACTTAGAAATTTGCTAACTTAGAAATTTAGTAACATAGGAATTTGATAGCTTAGAGATTTAGTAACTTAGAAATTTGATGATTTAGAAATTTGGTAACTTAGAAATCTGATAACTTAAAAATTTGGTAACTTAGAAATTTGATAGCTTAGAAATTTGCTAATTTAGGAATTTGATAAATTAGAAATTTGGTGACTTAGGAATTTGGTAACTTAGAACATTGATAGCTTAGAGATTTAGTAACTTAGAAATTTGATGATTTAGAAATTTGGTAACTTAGGAATCTGATAACTTAAAAATTTGATGACTTAGAAATTTGATAACTTAGAAATTTGATAGCTTAG